ATCCTAAAACAACTACTGTATATCTAAGCATTTCCTAACCTGGGATGCAGGCGGGATTCACATGGCTTTCTTTTTCTTCTCCAGCCACTAATGACAGCCATGCCCTACAGACCTCAGTGGAGGTTCACTAACCTATATAAGCCCCAAGCTCTGCCTTTATCCAGGGCTGGCCACTCTTTATCTAAAGCAAACAATGTTAAATCAACTAGCCTGCAGTGACCTGGGCCAAAAAGGTGTGAAACATCCAGGGCACATGAGGTTTGCAGCTGGGTGGGTTGCGCCCCAGACTCCCTTTCTAGGAGTGTTTGCTACCTATCCAGAAGGTCAGGTAAATCAGCCACTGTAAATCCTTCACTAAGAACCTCTGTGGAAAAGGCACCAGCAGCTTAGTCTGCCTGGCACCACTATTTTGACATTGCTCCCTGCTCAGCAAAGCTTTTGAGTTCAGCACCTGGACGTGAGCATTGCAAGTTTTAATCCATTTTATTTCGAATCAAGGAGTGATAGTCAATTTTAACTGGAGATACTGCAAATGAATGCTCGTGTGTTTGCTGATTCGTTTGCTATTTGCCAACTCTGTGTTGACACATACATAGATCGATGGCAATATAAAAGTGAACATTAGAGCTGCTTTCCCCCCTCTAATAACATGTTTGTGGGTTTGACTGATTATAAATATCTAGTTCTATGAAGGCCTGGACACTACGCAAATTAATTTTGACCTAAATAATTGATTGCTTTTTTAAAAAAAGATGCTCAGTCAATTAAGCAGTCATTAAGATGCTCACAGAACTAGTGGAAACAAGTTACAAGTGTCCGGTCTGCAATCCTGATACAGCTATCACCCAAAAATAATTCACTCAAAAAATTAAAGATGTTCTATATCAGTGTTTTCCTGTTAAAATTCTAGCAGGGATGACCACACACTACCTTTAAAGAGTACAGTAGTACTGTACTTAACTACGCTGCTTACTATGAAAGTACAACACTGTATCCAATTTCAGGATCTCTACTCTAGGAGTGAGATCTTTATTTCTGTGGCACATTGTCTGATACTGCAGCAGGCATTTCCCCACTGCTGTGGAAACAATTGATGTTCCAAAGGAAGCCGGGGCATCTTTTTATCACAATGTAACACTGTCACTGTGGAAGGGATTTGTTTATGCTAATTGTTTCTGCTTAATAGCACATTAAAGACTAAGGCAGGAAGAGACTTTCCATATGTCACATCTGTTCAGTTTTGGTGGACAGGTAACTCAGCAGTCCTGTGTGCCCACAGATGATGTGGTTTGCAGCACACAAAACATTTATACGAGTATTTCAGTGAGAAACAGGCCAAAGTCTTTGCTAGGAGTAATAATGGGTCACTTAACAGATACAACTTACAATTTGTTGTGGAGGCTGTAGAAATGTTGAGCTACACTTGCTGTTAAGTGCAATTACAGCGAATCCTAACACCCCATGTAGTTGAATGGCCAGCTAAAGGAGGATTGGCCCCTGCTTCCTCCACCCAAATTTGAGGCGAGTCATTCCATTGCATTAGCTAGGCATCCAGAAGCGTCCTCACACGGAGGGGGGAGGGGTTCGGATGGTTTTAATTTCTTAATAAGAGCATGCCCTTCATTTGTCCTTTCCAACCAAAACATGTTATGTGTTTTTGCCTATACCAAACCCCTGCTGGTGAATCAGATTGTCTCATTAGAACTGACACGATCACCAGAATGAGCTATCCACAGGACAGGTTACAATTGAGAAGTTTGGTAACGATAGAGATGTCCTGGCAAAAGTGTTTCCTGCTTTCCCCCTGAACGCCATCTGTTTGTACAATTATGTGCTAAATAATGGTGTTCACCTGCTGGGGCAGGCTGGGGCCTTCCTTCTCCATTGCTGAGAGTGTGTCGCTGATTCCCCAGTGACTCAGCAAATATTGGTGGTTCTCCTTTTGCTTGAGCTGTGTTCCCTCTCACCTTCAGGCATCAAAGAACAGCCTTCTCCTTTCCTCTGTATTACACTGGAATCACCCAGTGCATGGCCCTACCTGTCTAAGGCTTCTACACTAGACAAGAGAAACAAAGAGAAGCCACTGTCCTCTTTACACACCCGTGTGCAGGCACACAAAGTCACAGAGATAAAAAGAATAAAATCTATATCATTTTGGCAATCCTGTGCAATTCATCAAAGTATAGAGGTTCGGTGGAATTCAGGCAGCACAGTATGTATACCTATTTCGGCAGGCAGGAATATTCCACCTAACACTGATTGTGTACCTGCAAGGGTTTTTCTCTCTGTGTGTAGACACAAGTCTACACAGCTACATCCATTTCCCCGCTGACATTCAGTATCACCACAACATAGTGCACTAAAAGATCTTTGCCCTGTAATTCCACTTCTCGTTCCTTAACCATCCCTCATTCTGTGTCACCCTCTCTCATCATAAGCCTGTCCTCTTCATTAAACCAATAGATATAACATTATACGTATTAATCTCTGAGCAAGTCCAAAGTATCCTTCCCTCTGCCCTGAGCAACTGCAGCCTAATTTTATAGAAGAGAAGAATGGTGCTTTCCTTCCAGAGACCATGGCAAGGCTCCTCTACATTCCTACACACTTCATCTGCAATCTTAAGTCAGAATTTTAGAAAGCATCTAAATGATCTAAGCTACGTTCTATAGTGGCATCCTTGCAACACTGCTAAGGTTTATTTCCATACTTCATTGTCTAAATCAGTGGTTCTTAACCTTTGTTACTCGAATGTTTTTGAACTGCAACTCCCAGAAACCCCAGCCAGCACAGTTGGTGGTGAAGGCTTCTGGGAGTTGCAGTCCAAAACTCCTGAGTAACCCAAGGTTAAGAACCATTGGTCTAAATGCCAGATCATTTCTTACAACTGATGCAAAAGTGTACATGAATGTAATCTACAATGTACCAGAAATGACTCAAAATACATTCCCAAGTATTTAGTTGTTCAAGTATAGCAGGGTGTAATTGCCACAAAAATAGCATCCCATCAGAATTCCTTCACTCAACACAGTCAAGGTTTTATAGTTACAACAAAAGGGAATAGTGGTAAACAAAACCCTACAGGGAGCCATGCTTCTTTCAGCTGATCTTTACTGGCACTGGATTACTGACACATTACTAAACCCAAGAAGGTATGTCGGGAATAGCCACTTACCCGCTCAAGCAAGCTCAGGAAGGCATTATCCCTTCCTCCACGAGGGATGCTGATGATGCACCGTGAAGTTATTGCTGCACTGGTTACTCAACTGCACCCTGCCTCAAGGGGCACTTACACAAACAGGGAGGCAACCACAACCCACTTCGATGCCAGGTGCCTGTTCCACCTGCCACTGGTATTTGGGACACACGAGTATCCATCACCAGACACGTATCTGTATAGCTATAAGTTCCAATTCAAGACAGAAAGATGGCAGGCAGGGTACCATAGTCTAGCTATGTAGCCAGCTAGAAACACTGCAGGAATGAGAAATGGCTGGGAGCTCAGCTGCAGAGCAATGCAATGCTCTCTGGAATTACAGGCCAGATGGTCTTGGCACGGGAGAAGATTAACGCCCAAGCCCATATACACTAATAAAGAAGACTGGTATGAGGACAGGTTTGTATATTTAATTGGATTTGTGGTTGCCACCAGAACCAGAATCACTATGTTCACACTTAACACAGTGAAGTTTTGCTGAAACCTGATTTGTTTTGAAACATGAATCCATCCCTGGTAATAAGCCATGGATTGTTAATCAGCCACAAACTGGTCTGGACCTATAAATTATTGTTGGCTAATAAACTCCAACTTATTTATAAAATGCCTTGTTGTAAAATCTAAGCTCATAAGTGTGGATTGTTTATGACTTTTCTGCAAGTGTCCATCACGAAACATGATCTGACAAAAAGGAGAGGAAGAAACCAAAAAAATGAAAGACAAGCTATAACTGTGGTGTGTGGTTTTGTTGTTGTGTTTTTTTGTCAGTTCCATGCAATGTATCTCTTAAGACAGACCATGGCTAACACAAGCCATGGTTTATTGTGATATGTGAATACACTCTCTGTGTCAAGTTCTTCTGACTCCCTTGCATAACACAGAAGATCACTCATCCTAATATCCTTTCCTCCCATATAAATGAATGGTACTAATGGGAAAATGGCATTTTTGTAAATTGAGAACCTAAGGGGGAAAACTGATTGAAAATTGAAAAAGTTATGTTTTTTGGATTACAACTTTTACAGAAAGCAAACTTTCTTCTACAGTGACTAACATTTCCTACTACTTTTTACTCATCTCTATAGCTAGCAACAACAGTATATGTGACCCCATTACATGGTTTAGCACGTGTTTTGAAAAAGCTAAGGAGCAATCTTCTAGTCATATAGAACTCTTTCTCAAACTGAAGGCTCAAAGGAAAAGAAAAAAGAAGTGGGGGTGAAGAGAAGCTGTGCCACTTTATAGTGATTTAACCAGAGGCATCTCAATTTTAAATGCCAGTTAGTCAAGATGAAAGTTTCATTCTGTGGCAATTTTTCTGTCAAAACTTACCTGTGCCTGCCTATCCATTTATAAAACCTTTGCTTTTACTGTTTTAATGATTAGCGGAACAATAAAAGGTCCAGTTGGGTTGAGTGTGAGAACCTCTGCATATTGTAAACAAAACCAAACAAGTGCCTAAAAAACTCATATTAATACCTCCAACAGAGATGGGGTTTGGAAGCCCACTACCATCACCACATCTTACAGCGCATAGGTCAAACTCACTGGGACTACCTCTCACCTTTGTGCCTTTAATATCTCTCCTGGAGATTTATTTTGCGAAGACTTGTAGGCTCCTTACTCATTACACAGCCATTTGGCCACCCAGTTTTCACTAGGAAACTTTATATTCTTCGGACCAACGCACAAACACCCACCCACCCTGTAACATCAAGATGCCTAAAGTCTCAGGTTCCTATTCTTACTGAACCCCAGTCTGGCTCAGAGGGAATACACTTACCGAAGCCCCCAAGATAATGAAGATGTGGGTATCTGACTGATGGAAGTCATTCCCCTGGCTAAGCTCTTCCCTGAGCATCCCACAGATGTCTGCTGGGGTAAGCTCCTCCTGTGGATGGCGACGAGTCAGACTCATGTTGGCAGAGGTATTTCCTGAGAAGAAAAGAGTCCGTCAAATGATACTCCGCCTACCTTCTCGCCCCACCCTCAAAAAGTGCCACCCACATGAGCATGCTTTTCCTCCCCTTTTTTGTGGCACAAGCTGTATTAATTAAGAAAGCTCTCCAAGGCTGAGGCCTCAGCTTTCCGCAGGCCAAATTTCCACAGGAAGCACTATGCAATTGCTTGTTTAACTTATTTATACCATTTGTAATCCTGTTCTTCAGCCAACAGCTCAAAGCAAATTGTGTACCAAGCCCTTGCTTACAAACTGGGAGGATGTAACAAAAAGAAAAAAGGGATGAGAAGAAGAAAAAGCAGCTATTCACAAAATAGATTGTTTAAGTGGACACCAGAGTTCTCTGCAACAGGGAAAGATATGTCAAGATCCAAAGTTGGAAAAGTTACTTTTTGGATTATAACTCCTAACTGTGCTTGCTTATTTATTTATTTATAACAGCTGAGAGCTTTGACCCAAAGAGAGGCCTGGAAAAAAGTAACCAGAAACCGGGCCTTCTCAGCAATAGCCCCCACAATTACAGAATGCTCTCCTGCCCGATATTCGCTTAGCACCTTCATTGGGAACTTTTAAGTCATTATTAAAAGCATTTCTATTTAGACAGGCCTTCTGTCTACATCATCCAATATAACAGTGATAAAATAATCAGAAATTGCTAATGTTCAACCTCCGCCATGCTTTCTTTATATTAATTTCATGTTCTATTTGATATATGTTTTTATGTGTTGATTTTGTATAGATTATTTTATTTTATTAACTGCTTTGTCTTGTCTTTATATTTTGTTTTAGGACATTTTGTAAACTGCCCAGAGTGGCTTGGGTTAATGGGTGGTATAGAAATTAAACAAACAAACCATTCATTCATTCCATTTCTATACCACCTACATATCTGGCTGAAGGCCACTTTGAAGGTTTACAACATATGCAAACATCATAATTAAAATACAATTTGACAAAACAGAAAATAAAAATAATTTCTGGAAGCTATGGTCCCAAAAAAGGAACTTGTCCAGGTTCTGCCAGCTGGCCATCATCAACCCAAGATCTCTACAACCAGACAAAAATAATGGGAAGGACACCAAAGTCAAAAGGAGAAAGAAAGAGAAAAAAGCCCCAGGCAACAGGAAGTTGAAATAGGCAAAACTCCTACAAGGAAGAGGAAAGAAAATGTTATATGCATACAGTCTATTAGAGGCCTATTGTGTGACCCAGCAATCACAAAGATGATGAAAAACATATAGGTATTGAGTGAGTACATTTCATTGGGGAAGTAGGCAACTATTACACACAGTTTCTTCACTAAGCAGTGAAAGGGGAAGAAAAAAGGGAAGAAGACAGGGACCCTGTCGTGGCAGAGGAATAATCATTAAAACTTTTGACTGGAGACAAACCCTAATCTGGACTCAAGGACTGGCCTGCTGGAGTTCAGCATCTGACCATGTGCTCCCAAAGCGGAGCGGTCTGGCTGCCTCCTGCCTCCAGGCAACGGGCATCACCACCGCGGAAGAGAAGCAACATGAACTATTGAAGTGACTGGTACCCAAGCCTGCAAAAATTACATTTCGGACAATTCCCAGACTTTCTCCTGCCATCATAGTCAAAACCCTACGCTGGCTGACGGAGTCTGGGAGTTAAAAGATTCCACAAAAAAGTAACGTTTTCAAGGTCTGGCTTCGGGGAACAAGGGGCCACAATTCCAGATAAAGAAGAGGAGGGGGGGCTGACTACTCTCTCTATTCTTAAGAGGTCTGCCGCATCCCGCCCCCCCCCCATCCACTTTGTCCCTGCCCTGGCTTGACCCTCTGCTCCCCACCCTCTCCTCGTCGCCCTGCTCTCGTCCATGGTA